TTTCCTGTTTGTGATTTAAATTGTTTTATTATTTCTAACCACAGGGTGGCGCTCAAGTACATCAAATTCATAGATTTTTTTCACCATTGGGTTCTTACACTTAAAACTGTCAGATGAAGATAGTTTAACTTCACCTATACACAAAATCCAATTAATTGTTTATCACCTATCTGCCATCTCCATCATCACATCCTCTAGCATATTATTTGTCTTCAATAAGTATGAATTCCTTCTCTATAAACACCTCAATGGATCAGCCTTTTCTCTTCAAATTACTCTTTCCATGTAATTGCTTTTCTGGCCCCATCGTTGATTATTTATTTATTTTTTTAGAATTGACTTCAGTTAACAGAAGTTAACATCTTGCTACTCAAATACACTTTTCTCTGCTTTTGTACTTGGCCTTGTGTTAAATAAATGCTATCACCTTTGTTTGGGAGTATAGCTTACAGTTATTACTCTATGAGATATTCTCATAAATAAGGAAAAAAACAGCAAGAAGGTGATTGTTTAAGAAAAAACAAGCAACATGATATTAAGTATATCAGAATCACATGTCTGTTTAGATCTGTGACTTTAAACAAATATCTTAACCTTTCTAAATCTTAACTTTCTCATTCATAAAATGGGAACAGTATTTTAATAACTGGGTTGTAAAAATCGAGTTACTTATATAAAGTGCTCAGCTCACTATGTTTGTTTGCTTATTTAACCCAGTATCTACCTCTCTTTTTCCTGCTCCAGGTTCTACCTGCTAATTGCCTCATTTTGATTTCTTTGGTCTGATTTTCTAGAAATCTTTTTATGTCTTCTTAAGTTTCTCCTCTTGCACATCTTCCTCTTCTTTAAGTAACTTCTTTGCCACCTGTTCTACCATACTCCGATACATAGTCCTTGACCCTGTCTGCTGTTATCCTGTATTCACCATCCTGGAGAACTCACTCACTCTCATGAATCATTTTGACTCTAATCTTTAAAAAGTGAATTAAATCATCATCACCTCAAGACTCAGCGCATAAAAACAATATTGTCTTATTCCCCTGAAAATTAGCTTTCTTTTGAGCATCTCCTTTCTTATTAATGTATTATTGTTATCTTCACCCTAGAGACTTAAAACTTTAGTTCTTATTTTTAGAAATGTCTTGATTTTTGTATTTCTTTCATCCTTCATAACCAGGCAGTCATTATGCCTTCTTAGTTCTAACTCCAAAACGTAACTGAGATTTGTCTGTTTCTCTCCACTGAGAGGCAACCATTCCCATCCCTGCTTTATCACATACTTGGTTTATTATGTTAGCTTCTTTCTATTTTACGTTCAGTGGATTTTTGCCCTCCTGGGAGCTCTTTGAGAACATTCTTCCCTTGAAAAATACACATTCATACATAGATCTCCTGAAGACCTCGTTGGTCCTTTAAATATGAACTTCCTTGTGAGCTGTTTTCTTCATTAACAATCCTTGTTCTAGTCACTGCATTCCACATCAGTTGTAAGATTGATGTTCTTCACTTTCAGTTCTTACATCCTTTTGCTGATTAAGGATCCACACTGACTCATACTTCCTAAAATCAATTTCAGACTTTTCAGCATAGTATTCAATTAAGGTTTTTATTGACTTCACTTTACCTTTTCAGTTAATCTTCCTTAACTAATCATTTTTTTTAAACATCATTAAATATTTATTGAGTGTCAACCTATATCAGGCACCATTATAGACCTTGGGGATATAACAGCAAACAAAACAGACAAAAATAGTCTGCCTTCATAGAGTTATATTTTTGTGGGGAAGATAAACATAAACAAAATCAATATAAAGTATACTAGGTGGTGCTTAGTGCTAAAGAGAACAAAACTAAAGCAAGGAAATTAAATAAAATTAATGGGCTGAGAGGAGCAGCTATTGTTTTGTTGTTTTTTTAATCAGAAAGGCCTCACTGAGAAGGTAATGTTTGAGTAAAGATCTGAGCATATGAACTACTTAGATATTTGGGAGAATATCATTCTAAGCAAAGGAAAAGTAAGTGCAAAGGCCCTGTGGTCAGATTGTATTTCATGTGTTTGAAGAGCAAAAAGGGGGGCAGTATAGTTGAAGCTCACTAAGCAAGGGGGAGAACAGGAGGAGATGAGTCCTAAGAGGTAAGAGGATGATAAATCATAAAGGACATTTTATTTTAGGTCATTGTAATAATTTAGCCTTGACTTTGAGGGGCATGGAAAGTCTTTGGCATATTTGAACCAAAGAGTGATTCTAACATGTCTTCATTAGGATCTCTTTCGCTGCTGTATTAAAAATAGACTAGAGTGGGAAAGGATCAGAGATTGGTAAATGGACTAGGTGAGCTGATTTTAGTCTATGGTTTTGTATTATATTTACTGAAAACATATTGATATGTTCAGCTTGAAGCTTTTTTTAATCATTTAAAATGTAAATGTAAAAGTTTACCCCTTAGACTTAACATTTCTGAACTCTTGATTTCTCCCCAAAATGCTACCCCATCCATATTTCCCAACCCAGTAAGAGCCATTGCTATTCCACTTCCTCTGGCCAGCAGCCTTGAGGTTATCCTTGACTTCTCTCCTTCATACCCAAATCCAGCGCACCAGTAATTCTTATTGGCTGTAATTTTAGGATAAAAGCACAACTGACGCACTTCCCTTCCATTACTACCTGGTAGTCTATCATCTCTTTTCTGGATTATGTAATAACTTTTTAACTGGTTTCTCAGCCTGCCCTCTTGTTCTCTGCACAATAGCCAGTGTTAACCTAAATTATATCTTGTCCATCTTCTGCTTAAAACCAGCTATTTTTCCATCTGACTAAAAGCCAAAGTCTACTCAATGGCATGATATGGCCCCTGACTACTTTATAACTTCATTTTATACTTTCTCTTCTTCAATCATTACTGTAGCCAAATTGGCTTCTTGCTGTTCCTTTTCTGCCTGTCCATGACTCTGACCTGTATCACAAATTTTGTTATACATATCCTCAAAATTATAGATAGGCAGAAACATTGCAGATGATAATGACATTTATTCAGTGCCTTCCGGCTTTCAGGCCTTTTTTCACTTAATCCTAGCAACTCTATGGATAAAACAGAGGTGATACTAATTCCATTTTTATAGAATGGTAAACTATGTTAGGAGAAGTTAAATAACTTGCCAATGGTCATATAACCAGTAAGTAATGGAGGCAGGGTTGAAACCCATTTGTAAGAAGTCTAAGCACTATACTACCTCTTTTGGTGTCATGGAGTTAATGTGTTTCAAAATTATTTCTAAGGAGCTTCTTGAGGCCGGGGGAACCAGTGTGTCCCCACCCACATCTCCTTCTCTATTTTCCTTGTCCAATAAAAGTAGCTTGCACTTCACTGCTATCTGTTTTATGAAATTTCATTTGAAAAAAGGATTTAACACCTAGGTAACATTTGAAGTCTGTAAGCTATTGATGTTTTCCCTTTTTGGTCAGCAATTTAGTATTTAAAAGAAACCTAAAAAGATCCCTTTTGGGGGGGCAAAATAAGCAAATATTAACTTCCACTCATTTCATCATTTTTATTTTAGAGTGAGATAATTCGAGATAATACTGGGATTTTGGAATGTGTTAAAGAAGGCATTGGAAGAGTGATAGGCCTGGGAGTGCCTCATAGCAAACGACTACTTCCTCTTCTCTCCTTGATCTTCCCCACGGTGCTGCATGGGGTTCTTCATTACATCATCAGCTCCATCATTCAGAAGATCGTCCTACTCATTCTAAAGAGAAAGACTTATCATGGCCACCCAGCTGAGAGCACTAGCCCAGTGCAGAGTATGCTGGATGCTTATTTTCCAGAACTTATTGCTAACTTTGCTGCCAGTCTTTGCTCTGATGTTATACTTTACCCCTTGGAAACAGTTTTGCACCGCCTTCACATTCAAGGAACACGCACAATAATTGACAATACAGACCTTGGCTATGAAGTGCTTCCAATCAATACACAGTATGAGGGAATGAAAGACTGTATCAATACCATTAAGCAGGAGGAAGGAATGCTTGGTTTTTATAAAGGGTTTGGTGCTGTTATAATACAGTACACACTGCATGCAGCTGTCCTACAGATTACCAAAATCATTTACTCTACGCTTCTTCAAAATAGCGTTTGAGATATAAGTTCCCGATTAGTCTAAAAGGCACAATCTGGACACTTTGCTATGAAATTGTAGGGTATAAAAGTGATACTAGGGGGGAAATGGATTATAAGTGAAACTGGTAGAGAAAGCCCATGCTCATTATATTGACTTTTTTTTTAAGGCCTAGGTCTCTTTGGGATCAAAACTTCTTCAAAATTTAAAACAAAATAAAAACAATTGTTTAATATTAAATTTCTATTGTGGCATACTCTCTGTGGCCTCATGCCCCATCCTTCAGCCTACTACTCACTGATTTTTTTTTTTTTTAAGGCCTAGGTCTCTTTGGGATCAAAAGTATTCCAAATTTGAAAACTCAATAAAAATAATACTCATCAATTAAATTCTAGCTAGTGTAGCACGCATACTGAACTAAAATTGGTCTTGAGCAGAAGCAAAAATTTATCAGCAAACACAAAACAAAATTTTACAGAGCTGAATTTATTCCATCTAACTTTAATATTTATTACATGTTAATTTTACCTTCTTGGTTGATATTGTTATGCCATCCTTAATATATAGTATCAAGAGGTCATAGTTTACCTTCAAGCAAATAAATATGTAACCAATGATAATGATGAGAAGGATTAGATTTGGCAATCTGTAATCAGGAGTTGAAGTTTTAAATTGTATTATCCCTATATAACGTTTTAATGGCTGCATATTTATTACATAAAGCCATTTATGTTCACATACAAAACTTGGAATTTCCTTCCTTTCAACAAATTTTCCATCTTTAGATCAGCTTATTGCATAAGATGAAGTCACACACTTTCTGCTTAAATATAAAAATAAAATATTAAAAGCCAAGTTATCCAAAGATTTAAGGCAAACAATATACTTGTCTATATCCAAAAACAGCATTTCGGTGCCAGCAACTTAATATTCGTCATATGTTTATAAAGCTTGATTTGCTTACCTAGTTATGTGAATCATCAGGCTGTTTTTAGAGCCACTCTTAACAGAGATAGAAAATAAAATAATCATGACAACTATTACTGTTTCTAAATTTAGAAATTGTGTACTGAAAGGAATGTCACTTGTCTTTCATTTCTGAATGACCTGTCTTAGTGGAGACGCAATTAAAATTCACCTGGGAATTTGTGCCTCTTGCCTTCTGTATAGTTATCATAAATTAATGTCTTCAGTTTTTATTCCAGGTTTATTTAAAATTTCATACTCCAAACTAGATATACATAAATGGAAAAGCAGGTCTCTCCATATCGCCTTTTATTTAAACTTGTTTGGATGAATACTGAAGAAAAAATACAAACTTTAAAGGAAGTTTGTCCTTGCTTTTTATGGATGAGGTAAAGAGGTAAATTTCAATAAATAATCAGTTTAATAAAAAAAAAATTGTATGCTCCTAAATGGATGAAGCTCTTTGTGTAGTAAAATGATATGCATTTGACTGATCCATCATTAAACGTTTTGAAGTTTCATTTCCTCCTGTAAGTGGTCACAGTTTTACTATGAGCCATGTAGCACACTGAAGTGCAGTGACTTTGCACTTACATTTTCCAACCAGATTTATAAATAGATTTATTTTAGTTGCTAAATATCAGCGAAGTGGTTACTTTATGTCGGAATCAAAAATGATATCCAGAAAGTGTGAAACAGTATTTAAGTAGCAACTCTCTTTACTATCCTGTGTTGTATGTTTGTGGGTGGTTTTTCCCCCAATTACTAAAACATACAAGTTGTACGTTTTTAAATTTCACCAAGAGAGGAAAAATAAAATTAAACACCACCGATCATATGTATTTTATGGTTATTCCTTCAGATTATGGTTTATTTTGTCCAACATATGGCACTTAAATTATATTTATTGCTTTTAAATTACTAAGTAAATTGTTAGATATTTATATGTCGAACTTCCTGAATATCCTTTTATTTTTATTATAATCAATGAAGATTATTTCAGATAAGAGTTAACTTCTGAAAATTCCAAGTTTCAGAATATTTCTGGAAGAGAATCTGAATGGAATCAAGTATTTACTAGTGGAAATATTGGGATCTTTCACCTAGCTAAAAATTAGGTATTTCAAGATTGATGGAAGTTAACATGAAGATTCAGTTAGATAACTTTCATTATGAAATCATTATAAGACTAATAATAGCTTGAACCACACACAAGTAAGGTTAGTTTTGTGTTCTGTCTCTTTGGAAAAAGAATACAAATTAACATCAAAACTAAAATTGAAATGTGGCCAAAAAAGTTGAAATGTGGCAAGTTAAAATACTAATTTTTTTTAACCCCTCACCCGAGGATATATTTTATTGACTTTAGAGGGAGAGGAAAAAAGAGAGAGATACATGAAGAGAAACATTGATCTGATCAAACCCGCAACTTGGGTGTGTGCCCTGACCCTTTTGGTGTACTGGACAACACTCTAGCCAACTGAACCACTCAGCTAGTGCAAAATACTAATATTTTTTACTCCATTCCAAATTAGTTGAAATACAGAAATCTTTAAAATTTAAGCACTTAAATGCTGGCCAAATATGTTTAACTGAATTTAGAGAGGAATAA